AGTGCACAACAACCACACCCTCTCTCTACACCTAGAGACACACCCCAACAGCTACACGGTGGCAGATAATGTTATTTATTTATATATATATATATATATATATATATATATATATATATATATATATATATATATATATATATATATATATATATATATATATATATATATATACACACAACTGAAGGCAGATGCTCCTATAGTGTCTTGTCAGGTTTAGTGCCTCTCTTAATGCCCAATTGAGTTAGGTTAGGTTATGTTACGTTAGATTCAAAGATATATCCATAAAAATGGTCTTATATAGATACACAGATAAAAGATTCATAAATGGGTCTACAAATATAATACTAACGATTCTGGAAAAGATACAGTGAATTATAATGGAGAGCAAAGCATGACACTTACTAAACGCCCCTCTCTATTTTATGAACGCCCCTCTCTTCCAGAACACCCTCTTTACTTCCTGAACACCCCTCTTTGCTTCCTGAACGTCCCCTCTACTTCATGAGCCCAACCAACTCCCCAGTTCCTTTCTTTCCTCGAGCAGCAGCGGGAGGCAGTAGTAATTAAACAGCCTCCGCTCCACACTCCGCCTGAGTGCATATGTAACTCCCAGCCGCCGCTGTTCTCCTGTCAGTAAAAACTTCCACATGCTGGAAAGGCGCCGCTCTCCCCCCTCTCTCCCTGACTGAGGTAGGGAGAGAGGGGGGGGGGGGTGGCATCTTTCTAGCATGTGTAAAGTTTTGCCGACTGGGGAGGAGCGGAGGCTGAGAGTTGCAAATGCACTCACGCAGTGTCCAGTGGTAATGGAAGAGGTCTCCACCCTCACCAGCGAATCCCTGTGTCCCCTGGTCGAGGGAAGGTCATCCTGCAGCTACACCTTGGCAAAAAAACACCACAATACACATATAAACCCTGGGGTAAGAGAAGCGGGCCAGGTTCCCTTCAGTCCACTCAACAATATCGGAGGTCTAGGTCCACTATACTCCCGGATCACGTCACAGATGGAGTCCCGTTCCTTGCAGTCAAATGCTGGGAACACCGACCTCCTCTGGACACTCCTGGGAGAACATGCCAAATCTGGGTGAAATCGTTCAAAAGGCGAAGATATCGGTGAAGGACCACACAGGCTGGTGCTGCAGGCACACCACGGAACACTGACCGACCTTTACTCAGTTTCCGAGTAATCCTGAGAATATACGATAATTAAGGAAACACGAGAGAATTGGGTATATTAATTAACATCCGTGAATATAAATCTATTGCCTGAGAATTTCCCGCGTGGAATGCACGACTAATTAATGAAATTATACAAAAAAATGGCATTTTTCTATACCAAAATTCCATGAAATAATGCGGCGAGCGCCAGGTAGACCGAATATGATTACATCGAAAATAATAAATTTCTGGAGTTATTCGTCATTTTATTTCTCTGCCAATACGAAATATTATTCTTATAAATTACTTGGCCATCACATCACCATGTAGGATAACACACACCGTGACACCAACAGTCAGAGTCAACAGGCATCTAAGCCAGCAAGGTTCAGGGTCAACATGAATCAGAATCAACACGGGCCTGGCTGATGCCGTCTCAGGCCGTGGGAGAGAAACGATGGAAATTACATCAGATCTGTCGTCTGAACTTTGTCGATCCTGCGCCTCTATCCCCGAGATGGTCATAAACCTTCTGCAGCTGTTGCTCCTCCGCCTCCCCCACCACCCGCTGCTGCTTCTACTAATCTACCTCCTGCCACCTGCTGCTGCCGCTAGTCTACCTCCTGACACCTACTTCTACCGCTAGTCTACCTCTTGCTGGTACTTCACCTCGTCCCTCGCCTCACCCCGATCCTCATCTTCTCATCACCGTCTATACTCCATCTCCCTGGTTACAAATCCTTTTTTCTTCCCGTGCAACTCTCCCTGTCTCTCCTCTCGTCAACCACCCTACTTCCCTATATCTACCCTTGGCTCCCTACTTTCTCACCTTGGCTCCCTACTTTCTCACCTCGGCTCCCCACGTCGCCCCCCCCCCATGGCTCCCCTCCACCACTTAGCGGGAGGAGCCATAAAGGCCATAAATCGTGGGGTGTTGGTCGCTCCCAATATTCATTCCTGAAACTTCATTATAACTCCTCGTCTGAGCTGGTCATAAGGGCCCAAAGAGGCTCATACACCTGACCGAGGTCCCGCGGGTGCTCGAGGCCATGATATACCTGGCTGATCCTCCACACTATCCTGACACACCTGGCTGATCCTCCACACTATCCTGACACACCCGCTGGCCTCCCTCCCCATCTTTACAAAATCTCTGGCGATTCCCACACGCAAACGGACACACCAATATATAGCCCCCCAAAACACACACACACACACACACACACACACACACACACACACACACACACACACACACACACACACACACACACGTAACAGCAGAAGCAATACAACACCGTCAGCACCAGCAATATTCACGTCACAATAGCCGCCATGAGGAGAGTATTGGACCACGATCAGACCTCGTCCATCTACAGCACAGTGACGCGCCCTAACTCCACCCCAGCATCAACAAATAAAAAAACACCCAACAAGAAACAAAAGACACACACACACACACACACACACACACACACACACACACACACACACACACACACACACACACACCAAAAGAGCCTCAGTGTATTGTGACTAACAAAACTACTGTAAGGTAAGGTAAGGTAAGGTATTAAGGTAAGGTTAGGGTTAGTTAGGTTAGGTTAGCACTGAGGTGTTTAATCATAAGGTCCTATAAAATCCCTGGCTTTATGACCAAAGATAAACGCGTCAAGGTGTTTTACCTATAATTTAACACGTGAGGGTGATTTTTCCCTGGAGGCTGTTTACCGGCAATTGTAAACACACGATTCAGAATGAAACCTGTTGCGGTTGGTTGGGTTGGGTTGGGAGGTTGGGTGGGCTGGGCTGGGCTGGGGGCTAGGCTGGGTTTGGGTTGGAGTTGGAGTGGGTTGGGTTGGTTGGGTTGGGCAGGCTGGGTTGGGCTGGGCTGATGGGCTGGGATGGGCTGGGCTGGACTGGGCTGGCTGGGTTAGCGGACGGTGAGAGGCGACACATCTGTGGGATCAGGTCAAGTCACGTATCCAGCGAGGTGCGGGAGGGGAGGGGGTGCCAGTGCCAAGGTACAGTGTTTTCCCTCACAAAACATCCTCACCGCACTCCAAACTTCTCCCCTCACAAGAAAACTGCTGAGAATTAAAGTTTATGAGCCTTTGGTGAGAAATATTTAGGGCTATTTTAGAGGGAGGGAGGGAGGGAGGGAGGTGAAAGACAGCGCCCAGATTTAACTGAGGAAGGAAGGAAGCAGAGAAGAACGTAAAAATTGCACCAAGCGACCATCATAACGGGTCAGAGTTATGGTGATGGTGGATCACGGGAGGGTGAGGCGGGGCACTGTGGGCCCTCCGTCCACCGGCAGCAGCGGTCACTCTCCCGGCCAGGTTGGGCCACTCACCGTATCTCTCTCCCTGCTCACATTACTGCCACCGCCACCATGCAACCCAATGCCTCTCATACACCCACACTCTCCACCTTTCTCCTCTCAAAGATGTCTGCAGTGTGTGTGTGTGTGTGTGTGGTAATGCGCGAACCTTACAGGGGCAGGTGAGTGACACTATATATGACACAGGAGTTAAGTGATGCTACAGCCGTTCACAAAACCTCCATGGTATGACTGAGCCAATATAAAGGTGTAGCTGGTGTGTTATTCCACTCTGCCTCAACCTCCTTTCCTTTCTTCCAGTGATGTTCCCTGTGGCCTCCCTCCCCCACCCCCTTCCTTTTTCTTACAACAATCACTCTCTGACACACTAATACCGTCACTCCTGTAAATATTCTCACACCGCTACCCTACTAACACCCTCTCACCTTATTAGAGCCACCTCAGCCTCGCACCACCTACACGTGACACAGAAGCAGTCACATAATGGTAGCAACAGGGAGCATTTAGCTGGTGCACAAGCGCGCGCCACCACCACCTCCCACACCCCACCATGACCTCCGACTCCGCCCTCTCCTGGTCGATCCAGAGCTGTGATGGCTACTAGCAGCAACACCGGCCTCTACCTCCCCTACATATCACTCATCACAGCCTCCCGTCGCCCCTAACAGACACACGCACCTCCCAAGCTACTCACCTCCACAAGCACCACTAGATACACTGAACCAGGACTTACCTTAACACGTGAACTCAACTGCGTTTAACAAATAAATAATATTACATAGATAATAAACATCACAGTGGATATGAGGAAGAGCCGGGAGGAAACACGTGCACTGAAACTGTGAAGCAATACAGAGAAAAAATGGGTCAGAGGTCAAAGGTGAGGGGTAACCTGCTACCACACCGCCCAGCACATGGCTCCACCTGCAGAGAGAACTTTCACCTGTACAACAACGGAGGTGTGTCATCAGTGTCACGATACCTGTAACACAAGATGGTTATGAATGGTCATGAACACAACACTAATGGTGAGTGTGACAGTGTGTGTTATGGTCATGAACACAACACTAATGGTGAGTGTGACAGTGTGTGTTATGGTCATGAACACAACACTAATGGTGAGTGTGACAGTGTGTGTTATGGTCATGAACACAACACTAATGGTGAGTGTGACAGTGTGTGTTATGGTCATGAACACAACACTAATGGTGAGTGTGACAGTGTGTGTTATGGTCATGAACACAACACTAATGGTGAGTGTGACTGTGTGTGTTATGAATGGTCATGAACATAACACTAATGGTGAGTGTGACTGTGTGTGTTATGGTCATGAACACAACACTAATGGTGAGTGTTACAGTGCGTGTTATGGTTAGTCACGAATACTGATAATCAGTGTGAAAGGTGTGAGGTGTGTGAAAAAGATTTTCAGAGAGAAAAATGTAATGTAGCTGTGTGACAGGTGAGTTGATAAGGGGCGCTACAGCTGGAGGCTCACCTCTTCTTGCCCAGGAGGAGGCTGCACAGGTACAGCTGGTGCAGCTGCTCTGACGTCAGTTCGCCTGTCGACGACATGGTCATTGTGACTCATTCCCCGCCACCACCCCCACGCCCAGGCCGGGTCCTACCCCATCCACCAGCCGGGCTTCACCTCACGGTCCTGTGGGAGATGCTGCTGTGGGCTAGGCCGGGGGGATGGACCACGAGCTGCCGCTGCTTGTGTCTGTGTGAGGGCGCGGGGCGGTGGCTGGGGACACCCTCCTCAGAAGCTCACTATAAAGCACTGTCCACTTGTTGGCCGTTTCATTTACATACATACGACCTCAGTGGACACTCCAATTTGCATGTGGAGCCTTACACCAGGTGCTCATCTGCATACACGTCTTGAGGGCCACCTGTCAAGGACACCAATACTCGGGGCCAGCTGGAGCGGTGGACGGACGAGCAGGGGCGGCGTGCAGGTGGATAAGTAGCTGGCACGGATGGAGGAAGGATGGATGAAGGCAGTGAAGGAGATTGGCTGGAGGAGGGAGGCGGCTCAGCCACACAACAGAAGGGGCAGGGTCAGCACACGGAGCACACCCCAGCACATGTTCAGTCGTCGCCCGTCATCTCACCCACTGCACCAGTACGACACACCCGTCACCTTTATCAGTGCTCATATATATTTCTCCACTTTCTTCACCTACTGATAGCCTTTGTGAGTCTCTGCTGTACGACGCACTGTAGGGGAAGGAGGCTATAAACTTACAATAGTGACGACCACACCTGATCACAGTGCCTCCTGCTGGACACCTGCCTCACTCAACCACTGTCTCCCTCCCGCTCTCCCCTTAATTTAACAAGCCCTCTTCTCTCACATCCCTCTCTGCTACACTGTCGTTCCAGCCTCAACACTCACTCACTCACTACTCAATTCCTCCTCACACTTACAAAAATAATATCGCCTGTGAAGCAACACACTGTCACAGCATTCTACTAAATCTGTTTCTCCAGCGACTAGTGGAACTTTTACTACACGATCACCATTTTTGGAGACACGTGAGAGATTGAGTGAATGTCTCAGGGTGGACAGTTCAGTCTCGGGAAAGGAGGAAGGCTCAAAGAGGAGATGAAAAAATACAAGCCAAAAGTCTACCGTAGCCTCGAGTGACAGTCACACAATTCCAGAGTCAAAAGAAAAAAAAGTGAAAGAGAGAGAGAGAGAGGGAAAAGATATATGTCCCGTCTTTCTTCAATAGCGTAAGAGGACCTGTTTTCAATTCAGGTTTAAAGGAAAAAACACAAAGCAACGTAAAGTTACTACAGTCTCCAGGTAACAATGGGATGGAGGGGGGGGGGGATGCTGCTCCGTATATACCCTAACCACAGATCTGGATTATTGTACCGGTGAGGGAAAAAATAAATAAAAAAATGCTACAATATTATCCAAACGAGGGGGGAAAATGTGTTCAGTGACCACCACCACCGTCATCACGACTACCACCACCAACGTCACCACCACCACCACCGTCACCACCACAACCACCACTACCACACATCCTGCCCCGTCACCACCACCACCAAGAAGTGAACAGTCCAGTCTTTCTCCCTCTCTCTTATATGGAGAAATAAAAAAGAAAGAAAGAAAGACAATATAGCGGAAACTGACACCTAATTACACACCATCGGGTTAAGATCCACACCAACACCTTCTGAACGCTCATCCCCAGAGTACAGTGTAACTAAGTCAAGCATCACCCACTACCCCTGACTAATGAGGGAGGTGGGGAGGGGGGGGGAGGTAATTTACTATACCATTACAAAAGAACTATGACACTATTGCAATACTATTTACAAAGCTATTAAAAGACACAGTTTATCTATAAATATTTTTCTAACTATACCATATTATCTCTCTTCTCGTTGCTAACCAATCATACTAACAATACCATTACCACACACAAAACTACCACTTGAGCCACGGTTATTACTATTGCTACCATCATCATCACTACCGACACTCCCAAGACCATATTCTACCCACCCCTTGTAAAATTCTTATCACAACTACTATGGTTTTATCCCTACGACCATACATACCCTTTCGACAGCCTCCCATTTTATAGCTTATAACCACACACACACACACACACACACACACACACACACACACACACACACACACACACACACACACACACACACACACACACACACACACACACACACACACACACACACACACACACACACACACACACACACACACACACACACACACACACACACACACACACACACACACACACACACACACACACACACACACACACACACACACACACACACACACACACACACACACACACACACACACACACACACACACACACACACACACACACACACACACACACACACACACACACACACACACACACACACACACACACACACACACACACACACACACACACACACACACACACACACACACACACACACACACACACACACACACACACACACACACACACACACACACACACACACACACACAGTCTGTTGGCCAGGTGCCGTGTTCAATGCTGGGCCAGTAGTAGCAGCCGCGGAGGTTCTGTGTCTTAAGTAAGTGTGTGTGTGTGTGTGTGTGTGAGAAGGAAAACTGTGTGGAGATGTGTGAGGTGAGCCAGCACAGAGAGTGGGCGTGTGAGGTGGAAATGGTGCTGAGAGGGCATGATGTGGGGGTGGAAGTGGTGTGAGAAGAGGCGATGTGGTGAAATGGCCCAGGAAGGGCGCATGTTAAGTAGGTGGGGGATGGGGTGGGGTGGGGTGGTGGTAGGGTGAAGGCCACGCCCTCATTGAACATGCATCACAGCCACTGACCCGCCTCTGCCTTGGCAAGATTTTTCCAGTAAGGGTAGCCACTGAGCCCCTTCCTCACACCCCCTCCGCAACCACCCTTACCACCACTTCATCACTATCTACACCACCACCACCACTACGCTTTCCATCACCACCATTACCAACAACACCAATACCACCACCCACCATCACCACCCCCCCCCGTCGCTCAGTCTCTTCACGTCAACAACAGTCAAGCCAGAACCAAACAAGTGAAGGGGAAACTGCACTTTATTAAGCAAAAAAAAAAAAAGAGAGATGTCCATTAGTTACTGGATTGGTCACGTGGCGGCGCTGTGATAAGTGAGAGGGGCTGAGCGGCTTAATCCCACCTACAAATCCGGATTTATATCTGGTATGGAATCACTTCTCCCGCACTCGTTCTTTCCTACAAGAACTCGTCCTGTTTACTCTTGACACGACTTTCAAAATGACCGCCAATCCCCCACCCCCCCCGATCACCTACCAATCATCAAAACTTATCAATTGTTGCTGGAAAACACGTTCTCTGTTCCCCTTGTACCAGTACCACCATGAAGCAGGAGTCTGGGTACAATTTACCTACTTGAGGCCATCATCGAGAACACATTCCTCAGTTTACAGCCTCGGGATCCCCTGAATGGAACAGAGGAGCGTTCCATCACCGGGGGTCATCTCCTGTAGTTACCACCACACTCTAAGAGTCGGTAACAATGAGCGTAGTCACAAGCAGAGTATTGTGAAGTATCATATAGACTGGTGATGCATCTCAGGTTGCTCCTGTATAAACCTTGGTGAGGCTTGGTTCCTCAGCTAACAAATGGCTTCTTGGATCATGGATTCGGAAAATGACCTCTCGGGGACAAGAGTAAGGGTCACGGCAGTACTCTACTACAGATGTGTTTCCATTACTCTTCATAATCTGAGAGATTTATTGTGTTGGGTGACCTCGTCCACCAGGCTCCACACGCCCACCACACAGCCTAACCTTCTAAAAATACCCTTCATAATTAAACAACTGTGACTGATTACCTGCTTTGATGTCAGTGAGGAATGGATACCCTGCCCAGTGGACAATGTGCGCCTGATTGATTTCTAATGTTTATAGCAGCAGCGCCAGTGACCGGTGTAAAATTTGCACACACTGTCTCTGAAATTAAGTTAAAGGCAAAACTTTCCCACTTTTTGGAAGACACACACACAAACGGACGTCATATTGTAACACGAATAAAAAGTGAAATAATGATTTATTATCTTTTCATATATTCTAGAACTGCTGCGTACATAACACCATTAAGAATAGAAGATTCCTAAATAAAAAAATAAATAAAAAATTGCATTCAAGATTTCGCTCCGTACCTCAATAAAATCGTTATTTTTCATTGGCAGAACCCATTCATACGGCGGCTCAGCGCTTAAAAAATTACCTTTCATCTGACCACCGTGAAAACACCCATTGTTGCCTACTGAAAAGACGCCACTCAGTCACATAAAAGACGACAGAACCGAACTACTGTCTACTATACTCGGCTCCTCATTAACACCTCAATTATACTTCTCGTCAACAACACTGGCGCTCTTTCATGGCTGATGTTAATGATTACGCTTCCACCTTGCCCTCTCCTCCACTCTCACTCCCTCATCCACCTTGCCCTCTCCTCCACTCTCACTCCCTCATCCACCTTGCCCTCTCCTCCACTCTCACTCCCTCATCCACCTTACCCTCTCCTCCACTCTCACTCCCTCATCCACCTTGCCCTCTCCTCCACTCTCACTCCCTCATCCACCTTGCCCTCTCCTCCACTCTCACTCCCTCATCCACCTTACCCTCTCCTCCACTCTCACTCCCTCATCCACCTTACCCTCTCCTCCACTCTCACTCCCTCATCCACCTTGCCCTCTCCTCCACAGACATACTCCCTCACACTCCCGTCTCCTGACTTCCCTCACCACCAGGACCCCGACAGCTAGAGTAAGAAGCCCAGAGAGGACGGACACTTGGCCGCCTCTTACACTACCCAACACCAGTAATACCACATCCCCACTAAACGTCACTCGCCCATCACTGCACACACGTAGCACCATACACCACTTATCACCATACACCAGCGACATCTAAGGAGTGTGATGGTCTTCCCAGGTGAGAGGCGCTAGTGGTGATGGCGCACGGTTTCCCCTTCACTGACGGCGCCCGGGTGATGCTAGACCAGCCCCTCCCTTCCTCCTCTCCCGACCTTCTACACCAACAGATCTCTTAAAGAGTTTTCTCTGTCGCTCTACCTCTCCTGGTCGCTAGCTCACTCTCTCACGCTCTTCTGGCTGACACTCACACCAGAGAAAGAAAGAAAGCGAGAGGAGGGAGAGAGAAAGAGAAAGCAACCCCCACCAGCGCCTGCATCCCACCCACCAACGCTGACACCATTAACACCACCACCACGCCTCGTCCGCAATAAACATCATTGCCACATTACGCTACTCGCTAAACCTCATATTGTAAACGTCATAACAGCTGACAACACATAATTAAATGACAAGTCAAACAGTAGGCTGGGATGGAGGCAGTAACTACGACACACCGGTGAGCACCATTCAACCCCCCAGAAGTGATCACCACACTCTATAAACACAAGGTAAATATCCAACCCCCTATGAATATGCAATTATATATTTTTGCTACAAATCTGATAAAGAATGCAAATTGGTCTGAGTCATAACAAGGTTTGCGGTAAATCCTTCCCGCGGCCACACTCGCCTATAATACCTGTCTGGCCAGTGTTGTGTCCCGACCCGGCCCACCTTCCTCCACGCCATTCATCTAATCCACCCTCAATATCACTACACCCTTAGCACCCCCCCCC